TCTAATCACACAATCCTGAGCCCATTTCAAGTCTAGAAAATTAGAATGCCAATCCCCATAAGAAGCCCAACCCACTGGTATCAGTGACAACACTAAGAAGCAAAAAATACATTTTCTCTCAAAAAGATAAAAACAAGAATAAAAATGAAAAAAAAAAAAATACAGAAAAAATGACGATGTTCGCATTAAAAATGTCTTTAATAACACTTTTAGGCAGTTTTATAATTTTTTTTTTTTTTTTTTTTATAGTAAAAAATATATTTTGTTTAAACTATCATTCATGCTAATACTTCATACATAAGACTAATACATATAATATCTTTCACACTAAAATTAGATGAATCATCTACGTTAAGTAAAAGATTAAAAGAAATTAAACGGTTTTCAAATGTTTTATAAGTTGTTAACATACTTCAATAGATTTTTTTATTATTATTCTTATTTAAAGGCGTTTTGATGTTATTAAGCACAGTTTAAGCGTTCTTAATAACATTTTTAGTAGTACTACATATATCTATCTCGACTTTATGTTCCTCAAATTTATCTTGACTATAAGTTCATTTTGTTATTATTCTGTCAGGAGCTCTGTACGCGTTTATGCATATGAGCCCTATAAGGAGCAAGTATGATCTTGACTATAAGTTCCTCTTACTATCCTACCAAGAGTTTATGTCTTTATGCGTTTTTGCAAATTAAATAATCAAAAGCAAATCAAGTTTCTGGACAAAGTCCAGATTCGACTTCAATGTGCACCACGGCGTGATTTCCTTCCACCGTGGCGCGAGCTCTCTTTTGGCCACGAATTGTGTTTCTTTTCTTAATTAAATTAAAGTAAATCCATCAACAGTAACATCAACACCCCACTACAATGTTTTTGCTTCTTTTAATAAATACTTGCTTCACTTTCCGTTTTTACTTTAAACATAAAAATAAATACATATATTAAAATTTAGTGAATTTATTGCTGTCACATACAAATTATTTTAGCTTATCAAAAATGGTCAGCACGGACAATACAAACACATCAGTAATAAGTGTAGAGCTAGAAATCTTTGGAGCAAAGAAAAAACACGAAAGGGACCAAAGACGCCATGATAATGAATTAAACAAAAGAAGTTGATTAAGTAGAGAGTGATTATGAAAGCGAATAAGTCCATCTAAGAAACACTAATTTCAACACTCCCACCTATCTTAATAACTTTGTATTGACATAGCTAAAATGATTTATATAATGAAATTAGAAGATATTGGTGGTCCGGCGAAACGACATGTAGTTAAAGGCTGTAATATTCCAAGTCATTTTCTTTCTTTAATAACTGCCAAAGTCTTCTTCTATGGGCCGGGTAAACCAATTCACTCAAAAGCGTTGCATTATCATGAGTGAAACAAGCTTGTTAATCATGGCGGGTACTTCTGCTTTGCTGTATTGGCTTTTAATATTGCCAAGTGTCGCAACCTGGGCATATGACCAAATCAATAAGGGAGGAGATTTAGAGCCTTGGAATGTGACAGAAATTGAAGCTAATATAGCAAGAAAACTCTGCATCATTGGATTATGGTGCATACAAGTGAAAGCGTCAGATCGTCCCTCAATGATCAAAATTATGGAAATGTTAGAGGGGAGGATTAACAACTTGCAAATGCCGCCTAAGCCTTTTTTTTCTTCTTCTCAGCATAACTCTATTAGAGTGGTTCAATCAGAATCTTCAACAGAATGGCTGGGATCTGAATCAATACTGGAGGAATGCTCATATAATGATAGTGTTTAATTTTGCCAATGGAATGTGGAAGTAAAATAAAAGCTACTTTTTCTTTTGTTATGGCTGTCTTTGTGTAATACTCTAGTGAAAATTTGATTACTTATGTACAAGGAGTGTAATGATTTACCATTTGAAGTTCATCTTTAATTGCTATTGGGAGCTGATTTAGGTATCTTTAAAGTAACCATCCAAAGTCGAACGGCTAAAAAAAGACTGAAATTATTTACATGTTTCCATTATGTTAAGGAGGACTCAAGCCTTATTAACTGAATTCCAGATTCATTCACTAATGATATGGGATTTGATAATTCTATGGCAAGAGATATAAACATGCACTTACACTTGTATATGAATATATGTTTAATGGTTCTCTTGATAGTATCCCATTTTGAAAGAAAGTGAAGTCAAACGGAAAACTGAGCTTGTGGCGCTTTTTATGTCTTTACAACTTTGAAAAGAAAGTGCACTTTTGGGGTACTATATATTTTTATTGGAAAAATTTAACCATCTTGAATTTTGAATATCAAAATTTTATATATTCTAGAATTATGAAATTCACTTCACCAGCATATATGTATATGTAGTAACAAACCAGAAGACAAAATTTTTTACCGTGGTTCACTTTCCCAGATTGAATAAGCTACATCTACATTAAAATTTAGTAAACTTGGGGCTCATTGCATTAGGGATCAAGATTTGTTACAAATAAAATTAGATTAAACTCAATTGAATCACTCACTCTCAGTAATCCTCTCAAAGACTCACCCGTAGGGATGTATACGAGCCGAGCCGAGCCGAGTATCTCGATACTCGAGCTCGACTCGTGATGAACAGTATCGAGCTCGAGCTTAATCGAGCTTCAGTACTTGAGCTCGAGCTCGAGCTCGTGAGTGCAAAGGGGTACTCAAGCTCGAGCTTGAGCTCGCTTAATCGAGCTCGAGCCTGATCAAAACTCGATAAGTGCTTTTGAATCTTTGAATCTTAGAATAAGAAGTCCTCCACCTTTTCCGGCCAATAATAAAAAACCACAATAATCAGTGCAATATTAGTATCCAATTCTTGGAACTAAAAAACACTGTTGAGCTCCAAAAAAGAACAATCAATAAAACTACAAAGAAAATAACAAAATGAACAAGTTCATTAAACAAATAACCTCCCTCAGTCCATAAATTCTTCAGATAATCAAACAAAAACCCATGTCACAAACAACGACTACACAACACACCCATTTGTTAACAGATACTAGAAATCAAAACCCTACCCAATTGAAAGAAACTTCTCCACTAACAAATCCATCATTGAACAAACCCCATTTCCGTAAAAAATAAAAGATCCCCACTTATCAACAACAGCAACAACCCAAAAAAAAGAAAATAAAAATCCCAATTTGTCAAAATTGCAAGCTATACCCAATCCAAAACATCTCATGTACTGCCAAACCCATCAAACATCCCCATTTCTCAATAAAAAAAAAAAAAAATCCAGCCAAAGACCATAAAAGAACCTATTTTTCGCCAAGTTACCGAAAAAATAATCTTTACCCATTTGAGAACAGCCTCTGAACTACGAAACCCATCAACGGAACTTGACGAAAAGCACGAGGCGGCAAATAAAAAGAGAAAATAGAAAATGGGTGTTTCCCACCCAACTGGTTCAGGTGTGTTGCAAAATGGAAACCAGAGGGGCCTAGCATGTGAAATAGCGGAACCTAACTTTGAAAGAGGAGGTGGAGGCCTGGAGGGAGGTTGTGGTTAAGTTTGTTGAATCTGGTAGGTTACAGTTGGTTAAGTTTTACTTTTTGAGTTTTTGTTTTAGCTTTGAAAAATTGAAATGGGTTCTGCACTTCTGCGTTTTTGTCTATATGGGTGCTATTTGCAATTTTAACAACTTAAAAATAAAAAACTTTTGAAATCTTTCAAATTGCCCCCTAAGCTCGTTTAAGCTCGCGAGCCTGACGAGCCGAGCTCAGTTTGGATCGAACTCGGCTCGTCACTGTTCACGAGCTGCTCGAGCTCGAGCTTGACTCGACTGATTTCGAGTCGAGCTCGAGCTTGGGACGAGCCGAGCTACTCGGCTCGTGGCTCATCCCTACTCACCCGTAACCTTTCCTATATGAGAATACTAACCCAGATTCTCACAACCTGAAGGAAACATAGCCCTCAAACACGATTACAGCAATCGCACAAGATTACAAGTCTATGAGAAAGCAAGAAATCAGAAACCCTAACAAAGAAGAATACAATCTCAAAACTGAGAGTGTAAAGGCTGTAAAATTCGACTAAAGGATCTTCTTTTATACTCATACTGCTGAAGAACCTTGGCTGTTAGATTTAGCAAGCAATAACCGATCAGGTTCAATCTTGAAGCTTTCTTATGAAACGATATTGTTTAAGCAGTACCCAACGACATCGTTTTGGGCTTCACCCTTCAACAGTATAGTCTCCACATATGTTTCGAAAATTAATCTCCAAGAAAGACTTTTAACTTGTGTGTTTCTTTCAGGAATGATACATGAAATTTCACCCCTATATCATATTATCTTTCGGGTTTTTAGCCACCCCTGAGCTTTAAGTTAATTAAAAAATTGCCCCTGAGGTTTCAAAAATAACAAAAGATACACCAAAGATAAAATAGCCATTTTAACGTGTAGCTCTTGACCATGACAGAGTACTGAAATTCGACTCTAGAAACAAAAAAAAAAAAAAAAACCCTCAAACCCAGAATACAAACGGTACCAATACCTACCATCAATTTTCTACACAAAGAACCACAAAACAGTGTTTAAAATATGTTTATTTATTTCTTAAAATAAAATTAAAATAAAAAAAAAAAAAAAAAACCCCAACCCAAAATTGCAAACCCATCAACTCCTACACAATCAGCGGCTGAAACTCATCACCTCAACCAAAACCGACCCCACCTCCACCATGCACCCATCGGCCACCATCCCACCACCACCGTACCCCATCCCAACCCAACTCCATCACACTCACACCACAGCCCACCCTAACCAAGCAACACAAACCAAATCACCATTAAAAATTAAATTAGTTACTACCATATCTCTATGGCAAGGCCAACAAAAACCAATAAGCAACCCTACAAACTCAAGACCATATCTCAGAGACACCAAATAAGCACTTTCACTGTTATTAAATGAGATCACACTCAACTTCCCAAGATTCTACCACCCCCCAAATTTTTTTTGGTAGGGGGGAGGAAGGGAAAGAAAGAAAAGAAAACACCCAAACGCGCCGCTGCTGGTGGTTGGTTGCCGGGAAATGGGGATTGGCTGCTGCAATTAAAACGGAGGCTGGTGGGGTGGGGGCGGTGGGAGAGATAGAATGGGGTTAGTAATATTGGGTATTTAGGTTAATAAAGTGAATGGATTTACTAAAAACATCAAAGACCAAATCATTTGATGTTTCGACTGAATTTGATCTGCTGAAGCTATTGTGAGGGATTCGAGCACACCAAGAGTCGTCGTAGGATGAATGATTTTGAATATGGATGCCAAGGCTGCGAAAATCCCTTTCAACATTACAAAGGGATTCAACAATCTGTTTAAAACAACCACGTGAGCAAGCCTCTGTTTTCTGATATCTCTGTATCTTTAATTTATTTCAGCCTCTGCTCCTCTTTTTTTTCATCAAAATCTGATTATCATTTCTTTGTTATACTCTGTGCACCGACAACCTTCAAATCATTCGTAATCTGAGCTAATTTTTTTTTTTTTCTTTTGAAATGCAGATCCTCCGGTCCTGGGGTTAAAATTGCAGTATCCACATCCACCCGTATTGGAGGCCTTGTGGTTTTTGCATTGGTGATATTTCTTGTTTATAGATCTGAAAAGGAAAAATAAATTCAAGTAAAGGTAGAGAATTCCTGGAAGACTATAGTACCCTCAATCATACTAGATTAGCTTACAGTGAGCCAAAGAAAATAACCAGTAAATTAATCACAGACTCTTATGGTTTGAGTTAATCTTATTTTGCACGTCTTGACCACTGTGATCTGTGGGTCATCTCTTACTTTAGTCTTTGTTGGAAGAATTTCGAACCATTGACAACATGAAACACAACGTATAAAAATGTAGTTTTGTCATAACCATAATGCACACAAGCTTCCATTAATATTGTTTATCCAAATCTCAGGAGAGGAGGAATCATGAGGAGGAAGAACCATCAGCTATTCCAAATTTCCTGTTTCTTTGTTATCTTTCTCTTCATCAGTGAATACAAGCAGGAAAACTTCAACAAGCATGCTCTTCTCATGTGGAGACATCACAAACATAAGCTACCCTTTTTGCTGAAAGAGCGATCCGTAGATGTGGTGATTGTGACTTCGAACTTTCTTGCCGAGCAACAAAACTATCCTAGAATTTTTTCAGGAAAGCACTATGTGACGGGAATTTCTATGATGAACTATAATCAGGGTTGTTGATATTAACTTGGCCAATGGAAGCTGCAGCCTTCCATACAACTTTGCATCAATTAATGATTTCGATGGCTTTTATTTTCTTAACTCTTCTTTCTATGAACAGTCATTTGCTAGATTCTTAATTGTTCTACAACTATCAGTGATTCGGCTTATAGAAGACTTCCTTGTTTTGTGTCAGTCTTATATGTTTATGTCAATTATGGTGGCTACTTTAAGAAATTTCTGATCTTCCAAAGTCGTTCTACTTGCTTGTTCATTTCAATGGTTCCAGTAATTCACGTGGGTAATACGTCCTTATGAAGTCATCCGGAAGTTGCTGAAGTCCGGCATCGATCTTACATGGTCATTGAATGCCATATGTACTAAAGCTGGTGGTTATTGCGAACTGATAAATGCTACACAGGACCTCTTAGTAAGCTAATCTTTCCGCTTAAAATTGATAGTTTTAATGCTGATTGATTACTAATTTTCAATCTTATATGAAAATAATTTTGAGAATCATCTCCCTGATTTCTTTATATTATAAGTAAATTCGTATTTCTTGTCCGCTTATGCAGATAGTTTAGAGATTTCTCTCATACTTTCTGAAATTTATGGTTCAATCGCTAGCACCTTTCCTGCTAGGTACGATTTGTTTGCTGGGATTCCGATTCGTTCTCCAAGACATGCCTGTGCTAATTTTTATTAATTGTGCTTATGCAGGATATACTGGAAACCTGATCTAATTGTGCCGGGGAGATGTTTGGAATTGAAATTTATATCTCTTGCGTGTATTTGAGTTTTTCTTTGATATGGCTTGCAGTGGTTCTTATATGTAGATTTATATTTGCTCCAAAGTCATATTGTTGTATATTTTTAACAAATGTAGAGCAACACGGAAGACAGTCGAAATGTGGAAATTTCTGCACACACAAGCTCCTGACTGCCTAAAAGGTACTCTTATTCTGAGCTAATGGCTGTGACAAACAACTTCAGAGACAAATTAGGCCAAGGGGGCTTTGATCAGTTTATAAAGGACACCTTATACAGTTTCCTTGCTGCTGTTAAGTTGCTGAAAACTCTAAGTTCAGTGGCAAGGAATTCAATGAAGTCTCTACAATCGGTAGAATTCACCATGTTAATGTTGTAAATTTGGTAGGATTCTGTTCAGAGGGTCTAACCGTGTACTTGATACAGTTATGCCTAATGATCTCTTGGTAGGTATATCTTTTCGAAAGAAGCAAAAGGCGATCATTTAGCTGGAGAAACTCCTGAGATTGCTTTAGGAAAGCTCGTGGAATGGAGTATCTACATGGAGGTTGTGATGTCTGCATTCTTCATTTCGCATTAAGCCTCACAATATCCTGTTAGACAATCATTTCATCCAAAAGTCTCAGATTTCGGACTAGCAAAATTTTACGCCAAGGAAAATGATTTTGTTTCGGTTAGTGCTACAAGAGGAACTATAGGATACATAGCTCCTGAGTTGATTTCAAGGAATTTCAGAACAATTTCTTTCAATTCAGATGTTTATAGCTTTGGGATGTTGTTGTTGGAAATGGTTGGAGGAAGAGGGAATTATAATATGCAGGCATTTGGTTCAAGCAGAGCATACTTTCCATCATGGGTATATGACCAGATAAATAGTAGAAGAGATTTACAGCTCCCAAATGTTTCTGAAATTGAAGTTGTCATAGCAAAAAACTGTGTATAATTGGGTTATGGTGCATTCAAGTGAAGCCAGCAGATCGTCCCTCCATGACTAAAGTTATGGAAATGTTGGAAGGGAGCATTGACGACCTATAAATGCCTCCAAAGTTGTTCTTTACTTCTTCTCAACGTATCTCTGCGATGGAGATTGAATTAGATTCATCAAAAGGAAGGAACTCACAAAATTCTACCAATTCCATGAGCTATTCCTAAAGAAATTTCATGATCATTTCACCTCCCACCACCACCGTACCCCGATCCAAACCCATCTCCATCGCACCCACACCACAGCCCACCCCTAAACCATCACCACAAACTCAACACCATACTGCAGAGAAAACCAAAATAAGCACCTTCACGTGTTATTAAATTACACCACATCTCAACTTTCCAAGATTCAACTACCACCCAAACTAATGAAAATGGAGAATGAAAGCATGAAAGCATGGATAAAAAAAAAAAAAAAAAAGAAAACACCCAAACGCGCTGGGTTTGGTGGTTGGGGTTGGGAAGTTGGGTTGCCGGGGAATGGGGATTGGCTGCTGCAAATAAAGACGATGGTGGTGGGAGAGATAAGAGCAATAATACTATACTTACAAAGTAATCTTATAAAGATTTCCATACAAAATGAGATGGCAAAAAATGACCATCTCACTTTGTACGAAGATCTTTGTAAAATTTCTTTGTAAGTGTAGTATTACTCTGAGATAGAATGGGTCAGCAATATTGGGTATTTAGGTTAATAAAGGAAATAGATCTACTAAAAACATCATATTCTTTATTTTTTTTTTTTATTTTAATTATTAATTTTTGTATAAATACGTTTATGTCCTTTTAATGGTTTAGTTTAACAGAAATTTTGTAACGACAGTCTAACAAACAACAAGGGGATAAATGTTAGGGAGAACGACATTTTCCCACCTAAGATTTGACAAAATGACACTTTCCCACCATTCGTTAGGTTATGTTATGTTTTCTGTTAATATTTTATTAAAAAGATGAAAGTACCCTTAAAATTTTGACTTTATAAATTTTTAATTAGCTAAAAAGTCAAAAAACAAAAAATAGTTAGTTTCACCTAAAAAATTAGGAGTAATGCTATGAAATTGTTTAAAGTTAAATGTCATCAATATCTCATCACTATTATTCAATAATCTATTAAATTTATAATGTTTTTCATTTTTCCTAATTAATATAAAAAATTAATATTCCTAATTAATTAAATAAACAAAGAAAAAAAAATATCTTTATACTTGAATTAATAAATAATCAAGTAAAGACTTTGATTTAATTAAATTTTAATTAAAAAATAAATTATTTAAGGGTATTTTTATATTTTCAATCAAATATTAACAGAAAATATTAACAGAGCCTAACAAAGTGTAGAAAAGTGTCATTTTATCAAACCTTGGGCGCTCTCCCTAAACCTTGGGCGCTCTCCCTAAATGTTATTTCCGAAAGATTGGGGGGAGGGGGGGGGCGGGGGGCGCGCGGGGTTAGGGTTTGCTAAGCCCAAACCACAGGTTTTTTTTTTTTTTTTTTTTTTTTTTAATGTTCCCATTATCTCACAAAAGAAAAATGAAGAGAAAAACCACGAATCTCTCTCTTACAGTTGAAAATCAAAGCCAAATTTACTTTTCCGAATGGATATACAACAAAGTGAGCTTAGGAGAAGAGCTCTGTTTGGAGATTGAGGTAGATGGAGATGATGAAATTGCCAAGAAGCTTGCTATTGTGGCATTTTGGTGCATACAATGGAATCCGACAGAGCGGCCTTCCATGGCAATAGTAATACAAATGCTTGAAGGTGATACCTCCGAAGCCTTTTTTTTCTTCAGATGTTGAAATGGATTAAAATTGATATATTAAAGACATCATTGTAGTGACATACTAAATTTGAGATGCTTGATTATGCTTATAAAGAACCAATTCTGCTCCTCTATTTACTAGTTTGATCTATTTGGGTTAATTTCTATAACTCTATGTTAGAGTTAAACTAAAGTCCACTGTTGAAAATTGAAAGTTCAAAATTTAATGTTTGTAGCACCTTAGAAAATACTTCTGTGTAGTCGTTAATGTCGGCAGCTTGGATCTTCAAAGTCAATTCTATTTGATAGGAGTTGATTAGTCCTGAAGACAGTCCACATCTTCTATTTGCTTTCTCACCAAATGGACTCACTTTGGCGAATTCATTAGGAATCTTATTAAGTTTTTATATACGTCACATTTAATATCGCTAGCGAGTGGACCATGGATTTAGTTTATAAGGCTTGAGATCCCATAACTAAATTGAGATATTTTGGACGAATGACTGGACTAGTCCTAATGAACTCCTAAAGAGGATAAATTTGATTTTTCTGTTCTCTTTTGGCCTTCTTGTGTTTTGTCCTCTGTATAAAACACTGTCAGTGGACACAGTTAGGAATTCTAATTTCCAGGACTAAGGGTCCCTCAATAATTGTAGTCTCATTTATAGATAACCTTTTAATTTATTTTAGTGTTACTTATTTTTCTGCAACCTCAAAAGTCAAAGTTTTCTACCTACTCTGTGTCTTCCATTATCTATTCAAACATGGCGGTGCGGTACACTGTCGCACAAGCATATTGCATTTCTCCAATTTATTGAAATTAAAAGTATTAGGAGGAATCATGAAAAGGGAAGAATCTTTAACTCTCTCAACTATTCTGTTTTCTTTGTTGATCTTTCTGTTCATTGCTGAAATACAAGCGAGAAAACTTGTACTAGTGTGTTCTTCTTCATGTGGAGACATCAAAAACATAAGCTACCCTTTTCGCCTGAAGGGCGATCCAGTCGTTTGTGGCGATCCAGACTATAAACTTTCCTGTCAGAACAACAAAACCATCCTGCAACTCTATTCAGGGCAGTATTATGTGAAGAGAATTTCCTACAATGATCAAGTGATCAGTGTTGTTGATGTTAACTTAGCCAATGGAAGCTGCAGCCTTCCAAACAAATTTCTGCGACAAGAAATTTTCAGAAGCATATTCAACTATGATAATGGCTTTCAAGGATTCCAAGTAGCTGATCGATACACCTATGCCAATTATATGAACTGCTCCGGCAATATCAATGATTCGAATTATCAAAGAGTTCCTTGTTTGAGTACAAATCAATCTCAAATTTATGTCAATTATGGGGGTAGAAGTTTATCTGAACTGCCAGACTTATGCTATTTCATTGCAGTGGTTCCTATCCTTCGTACAGATGCACAGTTTTCTTCTTACGAAACCATCAGGAAGTTGCTTGAAGCAGGCTTTGAACTTCACTGGTCAGTTGAGTGCAAGAATTGTGTTGATGCTGGTAGCTTTTGCTTTTTGAATGTGGACACTTTAACTTGCCCAGAAAACACTTGTAAGCTTCTCTTCCTCCATAAGCAGTGACTTCTTTGATTTATTTGTGTTGTCCAATCCTGTATAGAAACAGCACTACTTAACATTTTGTTTCTACTATACTTGTGCAGATTTTTATCTATCGCAGAATGTTTATTTCATTTCAGCACAGTATCTCTTGGGTATAATTTCCTCACCGGCATTATTTATATTGTGTTGCATACTACTAAAACCTTCAATTAATAGCTTTCTCTTTACCTACAGAGCTTGCAGTGGTACTACATCTTATTGCTAGATTTATCATTGCTCCGTTAGTTTTATTCGCGTTCCTGATCCACAAATGTAGAGCAACACGGAAGACAGTTGACAATGTGGAGAAATTTCTGCACAAACAGCAATCCTGGATGCCTAAAAGGTTCTCTTATTCTGAGCTAATGGCAGTGACAAACAACTTCAGAGACAAATTAGGCCAAGGGGGCTTTGGATCAGTTTATAAAGGACAACTTCATACAGGTTCCTTGATTGCTGTTAAGTTGCTGGAAAACTCTAAGTTCAGTGGTGAGGAATTCATAAATGAAGTCTCTACAATCGGTAGAATTCACCATGTTAATGTTGTAAAGTTGGTAGGATTCTGTTCAGAGGGATCTAACCGTGCACTTGTATACGAGTTTATGCCTAATGGATCTCTTGATAGGTATATCTTTTCGAAAGAAAGCAAAAGGCAATCATTTAGCTGGGAGAAACTCCATGAGATTGCTTTAGGAACAGCTCGTGGAATTGAGTATCTACATGGAGGTTGTGATGTCTGCATTCTTCATTTCGACATTAAGCCTCATAATATCCTGTTAGACGATCATTTCATCCCAAAAGTTGCAGATTTCGGCCTTGCAAAATTTTATCCGAAAGAGAATGATTTTGTGTCAGTAAGCACTACAAGAGGAACAATAGGTTACATAGCCCCTGAGTTAATTTCAAGGAATTTTGGAGCTGTCTCTTGCAAGTCAGATGTTTATAGCTTTGGGATGTTGTTGTTGGAAATGGTTGGAGGAAGAAGGAATTCTGTCATGAAGGCAACTCATTCAAGTAGAGCATACTTTCCGTCATGGGTATATGACCGAATAATTGAAGGAGAAGATTTAGAGCTCCCAAATGTTTCTGAAACTGAAGATGTCATAGCCAAAAAACTCTGTATAATTGGGTTATGGTGCATTCAAGTGACGCCGGCGGATCGTCCTTCAATGATCAAAGTTATGGAAATGTTAGAAGGAAGCATTGACGACTTGCAGATGCCACCTAAGCCTTTCTTTTCTTCTTCTCAACATAACTCTATGAGAGAGGTTCAATCTGATCATTCTTCAACGGAGTTGCTAGAATCCGATTCAATAGTGGAGGAAAACTCGTGTAATGATACTGATGTATAGCTTTGTCATTGAAATGTGTCATAATAAAACAAAATCTTCATCTATTTTCTTACCTTTATTTGCATGTCAATCTTTTGAGATATTGAAATTCTATGAAACATTATCGCTCACAGAAAGCAAATATTATGCCCTCAGGCCTCATCCAATAACATATTCAGAACTCCTGCCCCACCAGTTCATATTTAGAGTCCAATCATCCGTGTGGACTACTCCTGCCTAACGCATTCATATTTTAGAGCCCATTCATAATTTAGAGTCCAATTACTTGTGTGGAATAGTCAGAAGATATTAATTATTCTATCTTGTGGGGTTCTGATTAGTTGACTAAAGAAAATTATTCTTTTAATGAAGCTGAAGGAAAATTATTGCATTGCAGTTTTTCAGCAATGCAGAAACTCTATCTCTCTCTCTCCTTTTCTCTCTTCAATTCCCTTTTGCCGAGTATAATCCTCTTGCTTCTCTTACCTTGCTCAGAATCCAAAACTTCAGGTGGAAACATTACATCTGAATTTTGTCCAATTACAAATTGCAGCGAAAAGGGTCCAACCATCAGATTTCCTTTTAGACACAATACTCAGCCAAATTTTTGTGGCCATGAAGGGTTTGAATTATCATGCTCAAATAACAACACTATCTTGCATCTTCCGTCATCTTCCAGTGATTACTATGTCCAAGAAATTTCTTATCGTGACAGCATTATCACCATTAGAGATGTGCAAGAGACCACATGCCCAATACAAAGTCTTCTCTCTCTTAATATCACAAACTCCAAATTTTTTTTCTTCCCTTCTCAATTTCAGTCGGGGAAAATTTTAGTGAACTGCACTGAGACTGTTGATTTATATGGGGCTATTGGACCGATTGAGTGTGTCAGTGGTGATAAAAAATTTGTTTATGTCATAGATTCTGATACATACATCGATGAGCTTCCTTCAGCTTGCACAACATACAAATCATTTAATGTTACTGAATTTGATCTGCTGAAAGCTCTCATGAGGGATTCGAGCACACCAGAAGTCGGCTTAGAATGGAAAGATTTTGAATATGGATGCCAAGGCTGCGAGAAATTAGGGGATATCTGTCGTTTCAACATTACAAGCAATTCAACAGTCTGTTTGAAAGAACCACGTGAGACAGAGCTCTCTGTTTTCTGATATACTCTGTTATCTTTAATTTATTTCAGCCTCTTTTTTTCATCTAAAATCTGAATTCATTTCTTCGTTATACTCTGTGGATCGAGCAACCTTCAAATCGTTTGTAATCTGAGCTTATTTTTTTATGTTTACTTTTTTCTTTTGAAATGCTGATCCTCGGGGTCCTGGAGTTAAAATTGCAGTATCCACATCCACCTGTATTGGAGGCCTTGTTGTTTTTGCATTGGTGATATTTCTTGTTTATAGATCTCGGAAATCTGAGCAGGAAAAGGAAATTCAAGTAAAGGTAGAGAAGTTCCTGGAAGACTACAAGACCCTCAATCCAACTCGATATACTTACAGTGAGTTTAAGAAGATAACCAGTAAATTTAAGCAGAGACTTGGTCAAGGTGGCTATGGAAGTGTCTTTAGAGGAAAACTTTCTAATGGAATTCCGGTTGCTGTTAAGATGTTAGAAAATTCAAGAGGAAACGGTGAAGAATTTATCAATGAAGTGGCTATCATCGGTAGGATACACCATTTTAACATTGTTCGTCTTTTGGGATTTTGCTCAGAAGGAAACACGTCGCGCACTTCTTTATGAGTTCATGCCAAATGGATCTCTTGAAAAGTTTATCTTCTCAAAGATTAGTGAATCTACAAACGATTGCAATAGGTGTTGCACGTGGAATAGAGTACCTTCACCAAGGATGTAACCAGAGGATCCTTCACTTTGACATTAAGCCTCACAATATTTTACTAGACCATAATCTTCGCCCGAAAATTTCAGATTTTGGGCTTGCTAAGCTATGCTCTAAGGATCAAAGTATCATATCCATGACCGCGGCCAGAGGAACTCCAGGATATACAACACCCGAGCTGTTCTCTAGGAACTTTGGAGAAGTTTCATACAAGTCCGATGTATTTAGCTACGGAATGATATTGTTAGAGATGGTTGGATGTCGGAAAAATATTGATCTTTCAATTGAGAATCAAAGCCAGATTTATTTTCCCGAGTGGATATATAACAAAGTGAGTCAAGGTAAAGAATTTGCTTTAGAAATTGAGGCAGATGGAGATGAAGAAATTGCCAAGAAGCTTTCAATTGTGGCACTTTGGTGCATTCAATGGAATCCAACAGAAAGGCCTTCAATGCCAATAGTAATACAAATGCTTGAAGGTGATATACAAAGCTTAGAAATGCCTCCAAAGCCCTTTGTTTCTTCCGATGCTGAAATGGATACAATGTGATATACTAGTGAATATTTAAAAGGATATATGTCTTTGAAATACGTCTATGTATAAAAGTTCATTCATTCTTCTCCTTGTAATGGCAAGTGAAACCAAATTCAGATTAAGTTCTGGATTGATTATCGAATTACATTTATTTTTTTTCGGGTCTTTTTAGAATTTATTGCAGTTTTAATATTCTTTTTCTTTTCATTTTTGGTGATAATCTCTCATGTATTTTGAAACACGCAATATATGTGTTGTTGTGTTCAGTCTAGAAATTTTAGGATTGAATGTTAAGTAATGTTCCAATCTGGTGTGCTGAGAGGAAGTTTAATAAGGCCTGACGTGTTATATCCTTTGTATCTAGTTTCAGGACCACAATGGCCATCTTTATAGACTTTTAGTAAAATAGACAACTAATTGCCAAGAAGCTTTCAATTGTAGCACTTTGGTGCATTCAATGGAATCCAACAGAAAGGCCTTCAATGCCAATAGTAATACAAATGCTTGAAGGTGATATTCAAAGCTTAGAAATGCCTCCAAAGCCCTTTGTTTCTTCCGATGCTGAGAGGTTTGATATACTATTGAATATTTGTAGTGGGAGGCTCCTAGCACCTCTAATTTCTAGTGTTATCAGTTTGTTTTAACTTTTGCTTGCTTGTTCATGAACTTACTGATATTTCCATTCTTAAATTCAGATCAATACATTATATAGAAGTTTTCTTTCATTTGTCTTGTGTTTTGGTTTGGGAAATCTAAGCTAAATTCTAGTAGAATTCGGGGTTCCTATCAAATATTAAGTAACGTTCCAACCTGGTGTGCTCAATGGAAGTTTAATAGGGCCCGACGTGTTATATTCTTTGTATTTAGTTTCAAGACCACAATGGCCATGTTAATAGACTTTAAGTAAAATAGACGACAATTTGATTAATAATTTCATCACTCACCATTAATCTAATGTCCTTTGGACAGTGTTTCTCTAAATCGTGTCACCTCTGTAGGTACTGGTTGACTTAATAATTCAGTAAAAAATTTCAAGTTAACCCCTCTACATAATATTTAAATGCCTAAAAGCATATAGTGATTGTGACTAAAGTCACAAAATTACTTTAAAATATGTTTTAGAGTCCTTGATTCCTGTAAAAATGTTTAGGGCTTCTGTTGTTTTGGGATTAGTTTACAACTTCTCATCCTGGATATAACTAACAATCTAACTCAAGGAATATGTCAATTTGTGATGTGAAAATAATGGAGATTTATAATAATTAAAGTTACATAAGCTCTGATGGATCTGTGATACATGACCTTCTTATACACATGATTGTTTATGGTTTAATTTATAACTTTTAATTAATTATCAATTACCTTTTTTTTTTTTTTTTTTTTATTTTTTTTTTTTTAAAATTCATTTCTGGTAAAGTTACTTTATATTTGGTCGTCTTGACCACGTGATCTGTGGGTCATCCTTAGTTAAGTCTTTGTTGGAAGAAATTTTCGACCATTGACTAATATGAAACACAACGTATAGAAAAAGATAATTTCTAAATCTTTAAGTCGTCCATCTAGTTTTGTCATACCCTGCACGCAAGCTTCCAATTAATATTTGTTTTTTCAAATCTCAAGAGAGGAGGAATCATGAAGAGCAGAAACCATCAGTCTTTTCAAATTTCCTGTTTTCTTTGTTGATCTTTCTCTTCACATGAAATACAGCAGGAAAACTTCAACAAGCATCTCTTCTTCATGTGGAACATCACAAACATAAGCTACCCTTTTCGCCTAAAGAGCGATCCAGTAGGATGTGGTGATCGTGACTTCGAACTTTCTTGCCAGAGCACAAAACTACCTTAGAATTCATTCAGGAAAGTACTATGTGACGAGAATTTCTTAGATGAACTATAATCATGTCGTTGAATTAACTTCGCCAATGGAAGCTGCAGCCTTCCATACAACTCGACGTCAGCAAATTATTTCTTCGTGGTAGCTTTTTTTTTCTTAATCCTTCTTCTATGAAGGCATTTGCTAGATTCTTAAATTGTCTACAGATATCAGTGATTCGCTTATAGAAGACTTCCTTGTTTTAGTGATCAGTCTTATAACGTTTTGTCAATTATGGTGGCTACTTAAAAAAATCTGATCTTCCAAAGTCATTCACTGCTCGTTCATTTCAAACGGTTCCTATACTGAAGCAGATGGGAAAAATCCTTCTTATGAAGCCATCGCAGTTCTGAAATCAGGTTTTAACTCAGTGGTCAGTTATATGCAGAATTGCAGGCAGCTGTTTATTATGCTCTTACGATGATGAATACTCTACAAATATATTGGTAATTGAGCTTATCTTTCTACACATGATTTGATGGTGTAATGTTTTTTTTTTCCTAAGGATTTAATACCTCTCCCATAGTCACGCATATAACCTACCCATAATTTTTATCTCTTTCACCCTTTTGGCAATTATAATTTGTTGTTGAATTGCTAGTATTCGTTTCCGAATGTCTTGGGATGATCATATCGGTATAATTTCATAGCTGAATTCTTGTTATTTTCAAATATGTCTGTAAATGTTTTAATAAAGTTATCTATTACTGTGAGGTTATAACACTATTAACATAATCTTGAGAGTGCAAAGACATTTCATCAGAGCCCCTCCATATCTCTCCGTGCCTGACATTTGACATAACTTTGCAAA